TGGAGGTTAAATTGTCTTAAAGCATTTTCACTCACACTACCCCCCTCCTGGAATCAGACCTCCGGGCTGAGATAGAGAAAGACAATAAAAAAAAAAACCATGCGCAAACAGAAAAGATCAACACACTCAACCCCAAAGAAACAACATTACCCCAAATACAAGCAACAGCTGAACAACTTTACTATACTCATTAACAAGCATTATCATCCAAAATCTCCAAAACACCGAATAAATACCCATTCGGAGCATCTTGGTATAGAGTGTGTTGATTTATCCAAAAATAGATTATAGAAAGCATGTAAGCTCAGTAATATAATATTTACAATAGTAACCAATTAAATCAATCAAATATAGTTGCAAAAATGCAAATTTCTTCCTAACTCTAAGTTCAATATGAAACGGAACATGATAGTCTAAAATCACATGTCCTGAACATTCATTAACGAAATTAATCCCTCACTCATAAAACGTAGAAAGTATCCAGGAATTGAATACCATTCATGAACATATAGCATATGAAGATATACTGGCTATACACAATAATAGGTTCTAATACATGATAGATATAAATCATGCTCATTATTTGAATTGTCCATCATAAAATCTAAGAAGTATTCACTAACTCGAAATACAATATCCATGGCAACCCAGTGACAATACTAAGTACCTGTCATGACATCTTTTAACTACATACAAAAATAAATCAGCTGTCTGGTCTACACTTGAAAGTGATACTTCAAATCAACCGCACACAACACAAAGAAAATAACATTTACACATATGGATGCATATCAGATCCACATAATTATGTGGAAATGTTATTCCATCTTTCTATAAAACATACATATTTCTGATATTGTTATAATATATAATGGTATAAAATATAAAATTATATACATGAGAGTATATATAAAAGATATAAAGGTAATATAATTTGTCATACATTATATACAAAATTCTCAGGAGGTCTCAGCTATTACTGTGTAAAATGACAGTACAAGGTACAGGCCATTTTAAAAACTGAAAAAATTCTTCTTAAGTTGATAATAAATCAACTTCATTTATTCAAATCAAAATCTAATCACCAGTATCTCACTTCCGAAAAACAGAGAAATTGGCCCAAAACATTTGGAGACCACATGTTAAATATTCATACAATAAGACCATAACATCCACAGATATGCTTTAGGACACAGGTTTTTGTTTTTTAAAAGAAAGAAATCATGAATGAACTCACCTATTATAAACGTTTGTATGGAATAAGACTAGGTTATGAATTGCAAAAATGGGAAGTTGACGTTTTAAAATTTTATATTCACTGCAAGGATAGGATCGAACTAGTAAAAAATGAATGTAAAGAAAGGAGAGAGTGGGAGCAAACGAATGATTGTGGGTGTTATTTCTGCAAGGTTAGGCTTGGACTTGCATAAACGTAAGTATCTATAATATATACACATATATCATTAGCATCATCAATATTCGCTATATCATCAGATTGGATCAATTTAAACCATCGATAGGCTGAAATTCAAAGCCAGTAACACATTACATACTAAATGAAAGAATCATTAAGTACATACAATTTCTAGTACAGTATTCACTGTTTTTTTTTCACAAAATAACCTCATTGATAACAACAAGATATAAATATGCATTGCATAGCTTTGAGGGATAAGATAAACACAAGCAATGGTAGTAGTAGTATGACAAAAGTATGATACATACCTCTCAGCCTTACATAAAGAAATAAGTGAAAACCTATTCATTGAAGCTAAATCTCTCATTATAATTAGAAATGATTCATTAGATGCAAAGCCAGTGAATAATTTGTTTCGAAACTTGTCCCACACGACGCACAAAAACTTCTTCCAACAATGTGATGACTTTTGTGGATATAATATAAAGTAGAATCAAGAAAAATGATCTCACACTGTGCACAAACCCACATATTCATAAACCGTGAATACCGAACCACAGTCCCAAAGTGAAATGTGGTTCTATCTTCAACAATTGATGAAAGTGGGGCATTCACTATTACTGGTGAAAAGTCTTCACATCCTACAGTTTCCCACTCACAACTCACAATTTCCCCCAGAAACATCTCACCCGTAAAATCAAAAGTATCTAAAAAATCATTCCAATCCATTGGCAAACCAGCTTCAGTCAAAGCTTTTTGTAAAATATCCTCCTCCTGTTCATTCATTTCTACAACTTCTATTGCATCTTCAAACATATCCTCAATTTCGAACAGATCATTGTCAATAGAAAGAGGAGAAATGTCTTGATAAGTGTGTATGACTCCAGGAATAATGAATGGCCCCACATGATTTGTCCTGTCAACAGGATTTATCATATGTATTAAATTGTCGCCCATGATTTTCTGTTTCTATAAATGAATTTCAATGGTGATAATCCAAAGTATAAAAATGGCGAGCAAAGTCTTTCTCGTCTCGGAAGATAGTTTTACAGAGAGTACAAAGTTTACTTTCATCATCATCGTGAGTTGACATGTGTAAACGCTGTATGACAATGTCAGTAAACGATATATTGCAGAATGAACAACGCAAATCTGAATCCTGAATTGATGAATTGTCTGAAGTAATTGAAGCTTGGTCGATTGTTATAATGTCTGATGGATTAATATGAGAGTTCAAAGACGAGTATGATGAATGGGATGATGATGAATCTCTATTAAATAGCCAGTCTTTCACTAAATCTCCATCTGGCAAACTCTCATGACAATCTGACATATGATCGAAAAGTTTTAAAAATTCATGAAAAATCTCAGAAAGTCCTGTCTCCTCTAAACATATTTGACAAGTCCATTCCATCTGAAATGTATAATTTTAAATTCATATTAGAATCTAGATCACTGCAAAATTATAAGGAAATGGTCATTGCTAAAAAAATCACAGATTTTAAACAGATGTTTCGGCCATCACAATTACTTCATTGTCAGAGTGAGATTGGTTAGAATTTTTCTTTGCACCTTTTGCCACCACCTTTCCCAACCTTATCAAAATAGCGCGCTGTCTTTTATACAGTATTAACAGACCAACTGATAACACAGATAATACCACAAGTACCATAATTTGAATCAAATCGACCCAAGCGGAATTCAATGCCTTTAAGGCTGGAGCACTTGGATATAAAGGTTCCTGAATCCATGAACCACTTTCTTTAATGTTTGCAACTACATCTAATAATTTGTGTTTAAACTGTTTGTCCCCAATTTCAGGATCCGTAAAATTGGGTACAACTGGCAGTTTCATTGGTTCAAGATCCTGTAAATCCTCCACTTTTAAAAATGGTGCCACCTTACCATCAGAGAAATGAAAGTGAAATGGCACGTTTGGTTGTACTTGTGATTCCATAATGGCAACAGTTCTACATGTAGACACGTCAGCAAACAATTTCTGGTTTACTGACGTTACTACACATCCACAGGGTATTTTTGCAAAACATGCTAAATTATAACATAACTGTTTACTGTTTCCTTTACATGACATTTTTACCAGTCCAGTTCCATTCGACAACATCAGATAACGTCCTACATAAGCTAAATCATCAGTCGTGTAATTCAAGGCAACATTTATAGTGCATGCTTCAGATGCTGCTACAAGATTTCCGAGATATATCTGCGCAATGCAAGAGTTCAGAGTCAAACGTCGTGGTCTTAAAGGTCCGTTACACCTTGAAGTACCAATACAAGACAGATATTCGCTTGTTGACATTTCTATATACCGGTCAGCCGCAGCACTTATGCCGAAATAGTCAGGCAAATTCATAACTCTTGTCATCGAGCGTCCTTTTAATCCAACAGGTAAAACATGTATCGAATATAGATTAAGTGGACTTTGAGCTTTGTGAATAGGGATGTGAATCTGGATATACAAAGCTTCTTTTGTCGCAGCAGGGAAGCAAACAACATCCCGATAATAGAAAGCTATATTCTTATGAGTGATTTCCCAGTCCTTCTCTTGTGAACGCAACGACTGCTCCACCTCTTGTAGTATCCATTGCAGTTTTTCAGGTTCAATAAGTGGTTGTGGAAGTCGTCCAGCTAAGAGAGTTTGAACACCACTTAAAAATGCTGCATATCCTGTTTCAATTAATGCCAAATGTTGACTGTGCACTCTCAATGCATCAACTAACACAATCATTACAGATTCTACAAAATGAGAGTGTTGGATTGCAGCATCAAATTGTTGCTGAATATCAAATAATGTTGTTGAAACGTTCATAAAATATTGTTTCACTCGAATCTGGTTTTCCTTTACAACTGATACCAAATTGTCCACTCTACTATTCGTTAGATTTGTGATTGCCAATATCTCTCGTCGCATATTGTTTGCATTTGAGATTATACTCCTCTGCGATGTTTCAAGTGTAGATATATGCTCGCTCAGCACTTTAACACTGTCAGCTGTAGCCACTCCAAATAAATAGGACATTGCATCCCCAATAAAAGGTAACAATGCCCGCTTTAGATTAATGTCCCTTAATTTTGGTAGCGAATGCTGCACATCTCTTGTCATTTTTGTGATCCGAGCATCTAGTTCCTGTATATCAGTGTCCATTTGTCTAACAACATGTTTTGCTCTTTCACAAGTAGAGAAGGTTGTGTAGGAGTCAAGACTATGACCTGTCGCATAAGAGGACAGGTTGGCATATACCAAACAGTCAATATCTTTTGCTAGACGTTCATGTACCGGATTTGGCCACTTGAAGCCCAAAGTATAATAGAATTTTGACTCTGATACTTCAAGTTTCCTTACCGGATTGAATAACACACCAAACTGTTCATTCAAAACAGGATCTATCCCACAAATCTGTCTAAATAACGCTATAATCAGCCACACTCGAAACATATTGTCAGCTATCATTATGTAGAACGGTTCACTCTTCTGGTGTATGCATCAGTGAATAAATATATTCATCATTTTGATTGTCAGGTTCTGCTGGAGAATCCAAAAATGAGTGATTTCCATTACGTAAATGTGAAAAGTCTGTATCGGGCACATTATCGAGATGAGACAATGAAAGGTCAATTCTCTGAGGTCTATACCAGAAGTAGGTAATTGTAGTTAGTCTATCCATCATTCTGCAAATAAAGGGACACAAATTAATCGTTTTTCTTTGTTGTCTGCGAATATTCATTCAAAACGTATTTGTTTTTTAAATATTGTATCTCCTGCCTAATCAAATAATTTTCGAGTTGTAAACGTTCATTGTCATGACTCAGGTCATCTCTTTCAATCTCTAACTGACGTTTACGCCTATTTCTCGATCTAGAAGCATACTGTCGGTTCTTCAAAACTCGTCTTCGCTGCCTGTAATATCCCTTTGTAAATTCATTACAATTCTTTATTGCGTTACGAAATGTAGTCAAGTTCAAATTAACAAGTTCCTCATCAGATAGTTCAACTGTAGCCGATTGGGATTCACCGCTCACTGTGGTATTCTCCCTAGTTTTCTCCATTCCCAACACAATTGAGAAAGCACTATAATACAATAGTATAATACATTAGTGACAGTTTACTCAGACTCACTTTTACAGCAGTCTGTTTGCTCATCAGTTTCTAATTTAACTGTATCTGGTTTTACAGTACAAGAGTCATCAGATAGACATCTATCAAAGTAAGGTTTGAGCCTGTTATGATTCACAACATGTTCTTTAGAACCTTTCACTTTCTTAATCCGAAATACAAGATCAGACAGTTTGTCAATGATCAAATAGGGTCCATCCCAAAAACAAGTCAACTTGGTAGCGCATCCATCTTTAAGCCGGGGCGTGTACAGTAAAACTTTGTCCCCTAATTCATACTCATTTTTGTGAATCCCATGATGATCGTATTGTTGTTTCCAAACTTTGCTCGAGACATCTAAAGTATCCCTTGTTAGTTCATGAACCAAGTGCATATGTTCAACCAAATCAGCAACATATGTATTCAGTGATTTGGAAGTGACAGTCTCAGGACATCGACCAATTAATAAATCAATTGGCATTCTCAGCTCACGTCCAAATAATAGTTCATTTGGACTAAATCCTGTTGACCTGTGAATAGCATTACGATATGCCATCATGGTTAATGGCAAATGTAAATCCCAGTCAGATTGATTTTTCGCAATAGTTTTGCTCAATATCGATTCAAATGTCAAATGGAGCCTCTCAATCAATCCACTTCCTTGGGAATGGAGTGGACATAGTGTGACCTATCCCCAAAATATCACAAAGAGAAGCAAACAACTTTGATGTAAACTGGGTTCCTCTATCCGAGTGGATAAGCAATGGTATGCCGAAGATACTCAAAAAGTTATCAACAAGCACACGTGCTACAGTTTCAGCTTCCATATCCTTCATCGGAACAGCTATAGCAAACCGAGTAAAATGATCAGATATTGACAGAACATATTTATTCCGCCTAACTGTCCTTGGGAAAGGTCCTACAATGTCCAGAGAAATTCTCTCCAATGGTGCTCCAACATTATACAACTTCAGAGGTGCCTTTGGAGTTTGATGAGGACGCTTTCGTCTTTGACAGCTATCACATGTTTTCACCCAATTTTCTATGTCACGTCTATATCCATACCAATAAAATCTACCCCTTGCCTGCTGAAGAGTCTTGTCAGCTGCATAGTGACCACCTGCTGGAGAATCATGTAGATACTTCATAATCATGAGCCTCATTCCCTTAGGAACAACTAACTGCCATTTAGTTGTTGATGTATTCAGGACTATCCATCTTCGATACAACACCCCTTCAATAAGGAAAAGCCTGTTCCATTGAGAGACATAAGACTTTATCTCTGGACTGAGACCTGATATTTCATGCCATTCCGGTCTTTTGTCAATCTCTTTCCAGTTAATAATTTTCGCGAGAACTTGATCCTGTGACTGATATTGTCGTATTTGATCGGTATTCAGCGGACTTGGCCAAGAGAAGTTGACCTTATCATCTTCGGTAGATGTCTTTGGCTCAAGACGTTTCTTCTGAGCTCTCGTCAACACCATAACGTCATGTGAGACATTTCTTTCTTTTGATAATTTTTCGGCAAGCTCCTTTCGCTCACAATGGCTGCATTTATCTGGGCATGGTCTACGAGAGAGAGAATCAGCATTTCCATGCTTTATTCCACTCCGGTGCTCAACAGTATATTTGTACATTCCCAGTGTCTCCAACCATCTTGCTAACTGTCCTTCTGGTTGTTTAAAATTAAAGAGCCATTGTAGAGCGCTATGATCAGTCCTAATCTTGACGTCTGCCCCAAACAAGTAATGGTGAAAATGTTTAACAGATTTCACCACTGCTAGAAGCTCACGTCTGGTGGCACAATAATTTTGTTCTGAACGATTTAATGCTGTTGAATAGTAGGCTATTACAGTCTCCAAGTCATTATGTTTTTGAGATAATACTGCACCAATAGCCCACCCGCTAGCATCAGTGTCCAAAATATACTGAGCACCAACAATTGGATAAGACAAAACGCAAGTTGTTGCAAGCTTTTCCTTAAGTTCGTTGAAAGCCTTATCACAGTCTGCATCCCAAATAAAAGTTGCTCCATCCCCTGTTAGTTTA